CAAGATGAGGGGGGCAGGGGCCTGCCACAGGCTCGTAAACCCCAGACACCTGCCAGAACCCTAAACCTGCGTCAGAGTTTTTATCTCCATCGAAAGGAAAGAAAGCAAGGCTGCAACAAGCAAATCACAGTGACCAGAGTGGAAAGTGAGGCTCCGCCACGCGCCACCGGCTCTGGGGAAATCCTGCCTCTGAACCGTATTGAAACTCGGTGTTGTTTATCTTCTATGGTTGCCAAGCTCAGGTATTTTTTCCTTCTTTTTTCTGTTTGGGAGGTAGTAGGTAGTTTCCTTTCATCGCAGCGGAGGGGGCTGTCGCTGCACTCAGAGAAAGCTCCACTCAGCTGCACTGAGAGAAAGCTCTGCTCAGAGAGAAAGGCAAAATATAGCAGTGGCAGAATTTCATGGCGTTTGGGTTTTCCTCTGGGTTACAGGAGGGGGAGGATCACATGGTGTAATTTTTTTCTTATATATAGACTTGACATATAATGTTATACTTGCTTGAGATGTTATGACACTTTGTAAACACTAAAAAATTAGTGAAACCACACTGTTCATCCGTATGGTGATGTGGGTAAAGAAACAAAATAATAGCAAGAGACCAAAGCCCTAATTCCCTACTCTGGCACACAGGCATGCTCTGAAAATACTCTGCACTTCAGTTTCCTCATCTGGAAAAAGAAGGCTGATGTAGAGGGGTTGAGGGAGAAAGCCAAAGGAAAAGTCTTTCAAAATCAGTTGCAATAGATTTAAGCACTTGGAGCCAATTTTTAACTACACATCCTGGCTACTGACTTAGACCCTGTCACATCTCTGTATCTTCATCTGTAAAACTTACTAAGAAACCCCAGCCTCAGAAAAAGTGTGTAATTATTGGATGATGTCACTAACATGTGGATACAGACAAACTGAACAACAGGTCAAGAAAAGACAAAACCAGCAAACTGACCAAAGTCTGACACAGACAGCCAAGAGGAGAGGTCAAAACAGAGGAGCGACAAGCATAAGGGACTGTGTGATGGTTCGCCAGTGCTGTGGTGGCAGGAGATCTACAGGGTCTACACCTGAGGGGAGAACCAATTACTGTACAAAAATGAACAAATTTGTCAGAAAATTTAAAAAAAAAAAAAAAGGAGTCTCCAGGGCCCTCCCTGGTGGCGCAGAGGCTTAAAGCACAACACTAAGAAGCTAAAGCCACTTCAGCATGAGTTTGATTCCCCGCCTGCCCCAGAGGTGACCACATGGCGTGGCAGACCTCTCCTGACCCA